TGTGTGTGTGTATGTGTGTTTGTGTGTGTCTGTCTGTCTCATGAACAGTTTGAATGGCATTCTTGAGAAATTAGCCCACTAATTAATTTGTTGTAAATTTAGATTTATTTGATTTTTATTATTGTAAAGTTCTTTTTCAAAGCATATTTTGTTGCTTGCATTAGTATATTCATGTAAAGTTTTACTCTTAAATTTTATGTATTCTTTATCATTGAAGAAATCTTAACACTTACTGAATAATGCTAAACATTAACTTTTCTTCTATATCTAAATGTCCTATGAGTATATTTTTTCCCCAAATGAGTTCCTGTGCTTCAGATCTCATCAGAGCATTAGCTAGTGATGAGAGTGAAAAATAACACTGTGGATAAAGCCTTTGCCTTTGAGGTCTTAGATTATGATGCTAATAAGGATGCACATATTGTTTCCATGATAATATGCCATTGGTTATAACAAAAACCCACTGTTAATGTAGGGAATTGAGACAAATTCATTTGGCAGTGTCATCTTTATGTCAGCGATGGCAAATGTGAGAAAACATTTCTTGTTAATCTCTTTTACTTGCCTTTACAGTTACAAATTAGCTGAAAATATAGATGCTGAGCTGAAACGAATGTCTCAAGATCTCAAGAACATTATTGTTCACCTGAATACACTTGGAAATCCTGCTGACGCTACTGAACCGGTGTGTTCCCTGTTTTATTTAGTATGAAATTAGCTTTGTATGGGTCTTTTAATTAGTCACAGGCTCTTGCCCTCCAAAGCGTTCCTTATGTATCTCTAAAACTATGAAGCTCTTGAGTATGATTAGTGGGATAGTAAATAGTTATAGGTCCATACAGTTGTGAGTTGGTTTGTAGTTATTCCCAGGAGGTGAAAAAAAAGACTCTTTCCTCTCTGTGTGTTCAGTATCCCAGTAGTTATCTTTTGTTCCCGTTCTCATTACTTAGTTCATTTTTCTTTCTCTTACATTTTTAGACATTTTCACAATATGTAATTATTTATGTACTCATATATATATGAGCAGATATGTCTGAGTCTTCTAGACATATTCAGGCCCTCCTTCAAATATAGTGAGTTAACTATTAAGACTTAACATGGTTTCCCATAGGGATTTTTGTTATGTGGTCATTAGATTTCTACCTGCTTCACAGAATGCTACTTAGTTCATGAAGTAAATGCAGCATATCATGGGACTATGTGGCTGAGGATCCAGTTAGGATGAGGTACTGTGAATTAATTTGGCAGTAAGAGAGAATCATTTTTTTTTCATTTCCTATACTCTAATTAAAGAACTTTTTCTTCCACCTTTCCCTGCTGTCTTAGCAGCCTAAACGGAGTCCTCTTTTCCCTCCTCCTTCTCCATAGCAGTTATGGTAAGAGGAGTCTCTCACTGAGAGAACCTATTGTGACTTCTATCACTTAACTATTACAAGGAGTGAGGCCAGGATCTGGGTAGATGAAAATGAATGACACATACATAAGTAGTGATTATTCTTCAGTAAGCTCTTTGTCCAATTATATACAGACAGTTCTTTACGTACATATTACCAGCTTTTTAAATTAGGAAGACACAGCCCGTTATAGTTGAGAAACCACTAGAATTTTGTTTTAGTCACTTAATCTCTGTGAGTCTTGGCTCTTTCTTTTGCAAAATGTCAAGGATAGAATAAAAGGTGTGTACATCCTTTTAGGCCATAAAAATAATGCTATTCTCTACTTTGGGTGAAACTAAAATTGAACAATGACAAATATGAATTAGTCTGGAATTATCAATGTTGCCATTTGGCCGAGTTCACACAGATGATCATGAGTTGACACAATACATTTCCATTTGATTCTGAATGTAATGCCAAAATTCAAGATTGTTTGGTTGTAATAGAATTCTGATGCATCGATAAACACATGCAGATTTAGACATAAGGCAGAACTGATGTTTAGTCCTTGGGTTCTGAATTAATATAAGAGAGCTGTTGTGAATAGAGGTAGCAAAAGGAGACTATAATCCTGGCTTTATCATTTTTCTCTACTTAGCCCAGGATTATTTTGTTTCACTAGTGGATAACAAATAGTTCTAGTCTTTTGTTTTTGTTTTCCTGGCAGGGATAATTGGGATATTTAAGATGAGTGAGTTAAGGGTAATTATTCTGTGATGGCATGACAAAAGAAGCAAGAAGTCAGCAACAACTCATCCTTTTTTAAGATAGCATAGATTGGGCTGGAGAGATGGCTCAGTGGTTAAGAACACTGACTGTTCTTGCAGAAGACCCGGGTTCGAATCCCAGCACCCACATGGCAGCTAACAACTGTCCGTAACTCCAGTTCCAGAGGATCTGGCAGCCTCTTCTGTCCTCTGCGGCCACTACATGACACGGGTGCACTTACCTACTTGCAGGCAATACATGCATACACATTAAAAAAAAAAGCATAAATCAATGGGCAGAAAGCAGAAAAAACACTAGCTGACTGACAGTGTTCCTATGGCTAATGTAACCATCACCACAAAGCTCTGTTAGTGTGAGTTATACATCAAGATACAGAAGTAGAAGCTGTATGTCCCAGCACTCATGCTGATGGAATTCAACTTTTCTTTTTACTCAGTTTTTTTTTTGTGTGTGTAGAGGTGGGTGAATGGGAGAGATCACTTAATATTTAATTTTAAATACATTTTAATATTTTTTGTTGAAAAGGTCCATACCATACTGTGTTATTATATTTTCTTATAAAATCCACGAGGAAAATTAAAACATTTATATAACCAAGACCCTCCTACTATATTGGTATGTTTCTTCCTAGTCTTTTTACAATGCTGGTAAAAATACTTTAATTTAAACAACACTAGAAACATTATATTGACTTATTTTCTTTCTTCATCTAATACAATATTAGGACTTATTCTAAAAATTTTAATCATTCCTTGAAAATGTGATTCCTTTAATAGTGCTATAATATCTCAATAGAGATTGATTTCATAATATATTTAACAATTTTTATTTGTAGACATATTGTCTCCAATTTTTGGCCAATATAATATAGTCCTGTAATGACCCGTTCTATTTAGAGTTGCTTATTTCCTTTACATAGGCTCCTGAACCAACAGATGTGAATACTTTAAATACTTTTATTTAAAACTATTTTATTAGCATTGCTTTCTTTAAGAAGTAACATGATTGGGGCTAGAGAGACAGCTCAGTAATTAAGAGCACTGACTGTTCTTGCAGAGGTTTGGTTCCCAGAATGCACATTGGTGGCCAACAAACATCAGTAGCTCCAGTTCTAGGGGATTTGACACCTTCTTCTGACCTCTGCAGGCACTGCATGCACAGATGCACTTACATGCATTCAAAGCACTCAAACACATAAAATACAAATAAATTTAAAAAAAAGATGTAACATGATCACATTGAAAGACTTTGTATAGGTTGGAGAATTTGAAAAGAAGTGAATGGCAAACTCACATTATAGGAACAGTGCCAAATTTCACACTGTTGAAACTTGATAGTACAGTTTTGTCAGTAAACAATATTCAAAAATTATAATAGACATATAGAATTTTGTATTTATATTCTTAGATATAATTATATATTTTTAGTTTGAGGATTATATCAGTTTAGTTGTTACAGTACTTTCTATTTCTTTTCTTTTTAACTTCCCAAACTGCGATTTTTATCTCACGATGTTCCCTGAGGGCATAGTTGAAGGCATACAGGGTCTATAAAAGAGTGATAGAAAAATAACGGAAAACATCTTGGTACCTGGTAATGAGGGAGGTCCAACATCAAAGCCTAGCAGTAAGGAGCACAGCTGAGCCTCACGGGAGATGGGAGGTCCATTCCAGATAATCGGTCCTCCCAAGACGAGAATAAGCAAACAACAGAGTCCTCCCCATAAGAGGCAAACTCCTGTGAGCCAGAGTTGTGGTCCCCTCGTGCGAGCTGGAGCTGTGGTTTCCTTCTGTGAACCTGTGTTCCCCTCCTGTGAACCTGGAGTCATGGTCCTTCCTGTGAACCCAGAGCTGAAGTCACCTCTCATGAACCTGGAGATGAGCTGAAGTCCCCTCCTACGAGCTAGAATTGTGGTCCCCTCTGGTGAATCTAGAGCTGTGGTCCTATCCTTCTCCCATACCCCATTTCACACCCCACCAGTCCCACCCTACCTGTGAGCAGGAGCTGTGGTCCCCTCCTATGAGGCTGGAGCCCCCACTTCTGAGCTGGAGCTGTGGTCCCATCCTGGGATTTGGAGCAGTGACCTCCCCCAATGAGCCAGAGTTGTGGTCTCCTCCTGTGAGCTGGAGCTACAGTCCCCTCAGATAAGCCTGAAGCTTTGAACCGCTATCATGAGCCACAGTTCGACATTGCTCTAGTGGTACACTGATGATGGCGCCAAGTAGAGCATGGAGGACTTCCTGATGCTGGGCAGCAGTGTCAGTCTTCTCAAAGTGACTACATTCCCTACAGCCCTCTCCCCCTGAGGTCCCAGTTTGTACTTTAAAATTTTTGTTACAAGGTATAAAAACTTTACATTTGGAAATTTGGGCCAATTTATATTACTTTTGATTGCTGTATTTATATAAGTATTTTTCTCACATGCAAGTTGAGCTTTCCTAATCTGAAAATGTGAAATCTTAAATATTCCAAAATCCAAAAGCATTTTGATTGGTGACTTGATACCACAGTGGAAAATTCCAGCATTGGCATAGCTGGACTGGGGATGTAGATCAATGGTCAAAGTCTTGTGGAGTGAATGAGAGGCCTTAGGTTGGATCCCCAGCATCACAAATAGTTTCAAACAGAAACACACAAAAATGCAGGTATAACAAAAGATTATATAAAATTACTTTCAGACTATTATATAAATATAAGTGAATTCTAAATTCCATGTTTAGACTTGTTTCCCATCTCCAGGGTATTTCATTATATATATTTCAAATATTTCAAAATTTTTGGGGGGGAAAATGATGCAATTCTAGTCACAAGCATTTTGTGTAAGGGATACTCAATATGTACTTGACTATTGAATACTTCCATTTAAAAATTATGTATTTAAGGGTGTGGCTCCTGGTAGGTTGACCCTATTCTGGTGCGTGGTCCCATACCCAGAAGTATGTGGACAGCACAGATTAGATTGGATGCAATATTAAATTAAATAAGACTAAAAGAGGGAAGGATGTTGGAGGGGGAGGGTGGTGGTGGGTGGATCAGGAAGAAGTTATGGGAAGAAGTTGAGAATAAGTATGCTCAAGATACATTGTATGAAATTCTCAACGAAAATAAAAATATTGAAAATTATGATTTAAGGGACTAGGCATGGTCCTACACTCCTCTAGTCCCAGCACTCAGGAGGCTGAGGCAAGAGAATCAGGAGCATTCAAAGCCAGCCTTGGCTACATGGTAAGTTCTAGGTCAGCCTGTACTACATAGTAAGCCTCTGTCTAAAAACAAAAAGCATTACTGATGTGATTGACAGATGGTGCTATGCTTAATTTTTGTGTGAATTTATTAATTTGTTTTGCTTTGAAATGCCTCTTAATGTTTTCTTTATTTCTGTACTCTGGTTGTCTTTTTTATTGAATTGTAGGAATCTAATCCCTGACAGAAAATGAATAGGTAAAACAAATGCATAAATGTAATCAGTGTTATAATATGAAACAGCAAAACACCGTTAGTATTTATTATGTTATCATTATATACCTTATCAGAAAAAATTTAAATGTTTCAAATTTTAATTTTCATGCTTTTCGTTTATTACATTAAAATGATCCTAATCTAAAAGTCTTGGGTGTATTTTCAGCTCCAACAGATTTGCAAAATTCTGAATGCTCACATGGACTCTCTGCAGTGGATTAGTCAGAATTCAGGTGGGAATTTTATTGTCTTCTATGATCTATGTATGAAAATGTTATACAACTCAAATTGTGTGCTCAATGACCACAGTGACAGAATGTCAGTTTTCAGAATGTTGCTTAACTCATGCCCAGATGAGTTCTGAAGAATTAACTAGAAATTAATGAAAACAGTGGATGGACAGAGGTAGGATATCCATAGCAGGGCTAGAAGCAGGGCTTAATTTTTTTTTGATTTATTTATTTTATTTATATGAGTGTTTGGCCTGGATGTATGTAAGTGTGCCTATGTCATGCAAGCCCATGGATGCCAGGTGAAGGTATCAGAGCCTCTGAAACTGGAGTTACAGATGGTTGTTAGCCACCTTGTGCTTGCTAACAGAACTCAGTTCTGTTTTGATTTGGCTACCACATAAATGTATTGTATTCTCCGAAATGAACCAAAAATAATGGAAGGAAAGACAAGTACTAAAATTTAATACACACCAAAGCCAAACAAATTTCGTCAATTTACAAGATAGCAACTCTGTGCAGGTAACTATTGAACACAGTGTTCCTTTTTTGAGTGTTGTTGCTGTGTGCTTGTGTGTGATGCATTATGCATATGTACATGATCCTGCGTGTATATTTATGCACATATGTGCATGCACACGCAGAGGCCAGGGACCAATGTTTGGTATCTTTATGTTTTGCTACCTTATTTTTTTTTATAGGTTTATATTTAATCAGTAGGCTACAAAGAGTATATTAGTTTCTTACACGATCTTTTGATTTTAACAATTTCCAGGAAGGTTAGTCAGCTGGTGATTATGTCTAACATCCTATGTCTTACAGTACCGTGACTTAGACTTACGATGTTTCTCCCTGATCTATGGCTAATGCGGCATTCCGCCAAGCCCAAAAAGAGCTGTCCGGACCTCGTCCCTGACCAGTCTGAACCTCTTCCTTGCTCTCCTTCAGTCTTTCTTATATAGCCCAAGTGGCCCTACCTAGGGACGGCCCTCTTCAATAGGACCGGGCCCTCCTCCAATTAGCAATCCAAAAAATGCCCCACAGACACAGCCATAGGCCAGTCTGATAGAGGGAATTCCTCAACTGAGGCTCCCTCTAACCAGATGCATCAAGTTGACAACCAAGATTACCCATCACAGATGGAACTTTGCTTCTGTGAAGAACTTCAAGATAAGCCGGTGGAAGGCAATGTGGGAGACATATTGAAATAAATTTAAGTATAGATTTTAAATTCTATTATTATTTTTGTTGTGTGTGTGTATGATGCCCCATGTGGAGAGGGGAAGTGTTTGTTCTCCAAGGACCTTGACAGCTCTGGTAACACGTGAGTGGGAAGTTCCTGTTCAGTGGTCCCTGGGTTCTCTGACCTGTTTCCTGGGGTTCCAGTCATGCTGCATCTCAGGCCTGTGAAACCGGAAACTGGGACCATCGCCCTCAACAACCCGCTTTTAACTGTTCAAACCTCCTCCGCTCACGCACAGGAATTCAGGAGCTCTCAATGTGTGATGCTGTGGTCACTGTTCCTGCCCCTGCTGTGGACAGGTGAAGCCAGTGCACATGGTGACCAAGAACTGATTCCATCTCCTCGGGGACCCAGAGAAGCAGAACTGTTCTCTGTTCATCAGAGACGCACAGAAAAGAGACGCAGGAATGTATTTCTTCAGGGTGGAGGGAGATCATTCTGTGAGATATAGTTACGGAGAACAGCTGTCGGTGCATGTGATCTGTAAGCAATGAGATCATGTGGTGGGAACCTGAGGGCGCTCGAGGCAACACCCAGCTGGAAGGGACACCTGGTTCTCATCCTTGCAGACCTGCTGGACTCAATGGCTGGGTGAGGGGACATGGCCGTCCTGAGGAAGAGTCTGTGCTCTGGTGAACATCTGGTCATTTCTTCCATGACTCATGCACCTGTCCCTCCCCCCAGCTCCATTCATGTGATGATAAGTCAAAGGTCCTGCTCCATATGAATCTTAGGATAGATATTTCCAATTCTGTGAAAAATGTCATGGGGATTGTGATTGGCATTGCATTGAATCTATATATGACTCTTGGTAGGATGATCATTTTCACAATATTAATTCTTCCAATCCATGAGCATGGGAGGTCCTTCCATCTTCTGATGTCTTCCTCAATTTCTTTCTTTAAAGAGTTAAAATTTTCCTTGTAGAGCTCTTTAATGTCTTTGGTCAGGTTTATTCCAAGGTATTTTGTTGTGGCTATTGTGAATGGGAGGGTTTCCCTGTGCTCTTTCTCTGACTGCTTGTCATTGGTGTATAGAAAGGCTATAGACTTTTGTAGGTTAATTTTGTAACCTGCCACTTTACTGAATGTGTTAATAATTTCTAGGAGTTTGAGCGTGGAATTTTTGGCGTCCCTTAGATATATTATCATATCATCTGCAAAAAGGGATAATTTGAGCTCTTCTTTTCCAATTATTACTCCTTTAATTTCCT